ACGCTCTGGGCCAGGTACCTGCCTGCTGACCCCCATGAACACTCTGCAGGATGAGCCCTGGGGGCCTTCACCCACACCAGAGGCCACCAGATGTTCTGCAGACCCTACCCCCAACTCACGGGGAGGCTGTGCTGCACACAAAGTCTGCAAGGCTGGGGAGGAGGAGCTGCTCCTTGCTTTCCTCCTTCCCAGCAGCAGTCCTGAAGTCCAGACAGCCAAGGTTTCCCTGGAGTCTTGTCTCAGGCCCTGGGGAACACTGGCTTGGGCCTGGGCATTTCTCCCCACTGTGGCCACCTCCTTGCTTCTAACAGTCCGAGAAGGATCTATCACACCTCCCACTCTTCCACCAGGGCTCCCCTCATCCCAAGCATGTTTGAGGCTGATGATCAGAAGAACCTTGAAGAGAATGGTTGGGAAGGTGCTCTTTCTGAACTTGACCCATCCCAGAGCAGAACTGTGCTCCCCGCCAGCTACCTCATTCGTGCATGGCTGTTTGTTATAAGGGACACATTCTCTTTATTGGGAAGTTGAGGGACAGGCCCCAGTGGCACCTGCTTTGTGGGGTGAGGGGCACCCTCAGCCTTCCTGTTGCTGCCAGAAAAGAAGAGAGAGGCCAGCAGCCCCTCTGGCTCTCCTGGCTCAGTCTTTCCAAAGTCTCCTATTATCCCTTCAGTCCCTTCACCCCTCACCCCTGCATTTGTGCTCGTTAGGTCTGGTGAAGGGCCTGACCAGAGAGTGTCAGTCACTGCAGGTAGCCCATCAATCACCCTGTCTTCCTGCTGCTCCTTCTCCAAGGTCAAGCCCTCGTATGTCCTCCTCTTCTCCTTCAGTATTCCCTGGGAGGCTTCTATGTCCTCCTGCTCCTCCTCTCCTAAATAGCACAAGGATTCTGCTTCTCTCCATCCTCTTCTTATCTGTCCTTGCAGTGTCTCTGGCCCAACCGAGGGTGGCAGCCCCGCCTACACAGACACACCCATGTGGTGTCCTCCACTGACAGCTGGGCTTGGCCTGGGGTCAGCCTCCCATCTAGAACTTCAGGCCTCAGAGCTGCTCCCAGGTGGGATATATTCCCATGTTCCCTGCCCCCTTTGCATGGGGCTGACCCTTCCTGGGATGCTTTGCCTCCTCCATCAAGGAGGGACTCCAGTCTGTTGAGCTCCCTGGCTACATTCAATACCTATGTGGCTCATGAAATCCCAACAGCTTGGCAAAGTTGAATAATAGGCATCTGGCTGATAAGGAAACTGAGGCTTGGGCAGGTT